CCCAGACTGATTCTTTTTTTTTCCAAAAATATTAAATTAAATTAAAAAAAGAAGGGTGCCTGGAATATAGTCAACAGTCAGTACATTTACACTGCTATTGCTGTTATTATGGCTGACGGGAGAGCGTTGCAGAAAAGTGGGGATTAAGTGAGAGACCTCCGGAGAAATAAGGAGGTGATGAGTGTTTGCAGATGCTCCTGCAGCAGGGCGCCATGGATTTGCTTTGATGCAGAGCGCCGCTGGACTCTCCTCACTGCAGATGGAACCACACTGCCAGGGCAGAGGGAGGCAGCCCTCAGAACCGTGCCATGGATGCTAGGCCACAGGGTCGTGCCCATCCTTGGGTGAGGAAACCGATCTTCTGCACATGCTTCCCCAGGTGTTTAAAACTCCCTCTCTGAGCAGCCCCGCAGCGCAGCACCCAGCCAGCAGGAGGGAGGGAGGGCCAAGGTGGCTCCCCGGGGAGGCTGGACGACCTCGTCGTCCCCTACCCCTTGCCACCCCGGACTCCCAGACTGGTTCTTTGTCTGCCAAAGCACTGTTTTTTCCCCCCAGTAAGTCTCAAATTTGAATTATGAAGCTAATTGGAAAGGTGTAATGTATTAACATTTTTTTGTCCGTAGTAAATTCACTTGTGTTATCAGTGTTCCATGCTATTAATAGTCAGTGTCTTCAAAAAGGCAACTTTGAGCACCAGTTTGTTAGATAATAGGATGATTTAGTGCTGTAAATTGATTTATATTCTGAGAATCAAATACTCTATCATCCTAACCAATGTTTCTTAATGTATGGTGCTTCAATTTGGAATCTCCTTGAGTGCCTATAACAAAATAAGGATTCCTGGGCCCCAACCCAGGAGTTCTGCTGAATCAGAATCTCTAGATATGAGGCCCCGGGGACCTTCATTTTAAATGTTTTCCTTAGGTTATTTGTATTCACACTAAAATTTAAGAACTAGACCTTTTTTTAGGAAGTACATTTTTGTACAAGTTGTATGTAGCATTAGGAATTAATATTATTTTGCCCTCAAATTCTGTATATTTTGTAATTGATAAGGAATGATTGGATTTTTAAAAAAATTTTTTAAATCAAGCTCAGTTGTAACTGTCCCATGCTGTCTGGTTAGGGTTCTAGTATCCTCTTTATAAGCCCACGTTTTTTGTTTTTGTTTTTTAAACTCCCTTTACCTTTCTATTAGTTTAGGAATTAATGACTTTTTACTGATTTAGCATTTTACTGAAATGCTTCTGAATTTTTTGAATTACTTTAGGATAAACAGTACATTTACCAGCATCTTTGAATGACTTATTGGAGAGTTATTTCTGGCACTCTCCATCGACGTCATGGTCAACAGGCTGTGTTGATCTCTAGCAATGTCAGAACGTTCTCTTCCAGCATTCCAGTTCTCTTTCCTTCCCATCTCTCCTTTTCTTTCTAAACTTGGGGCCAATTCCATGTCTTTGCTATCATGAATAGTGCTGCAGTGAACATATGTATGCTTGTGTTTTTATGGTAGAATGATTTATATTCCTTTGGGTATATATTGAGTAACAGGATTGCTGAGTCAAATGGTAGTTCTGTTTTTAGCTCTTTGAGGACTTGCCACACTGCTTTCCACAAAAGTTTAACTAATTTACACTCCCACCAGCAGTGTATAGTGTTCCCTTTTCCTTGCAACCTTGCCTGTATCTGTTTTTTTTTTTTTTTTTAAATCTTTTTAAAAATAGCCATTCTGGTGTGAGATGGTATCTCATTGTGGTTTTGATTTGTATTTCTCTAATGATCAGCATATTGAGCTTTTTTTCATATGCTTTTTGGCTGCATGTATGTCTTCTTTTGAAATTTGTCTGTTCATGTCCATTGCTCACTTTTTAATGGGGTTATATGTGTGTGTGTGTGTTTCATTTGTTTGTTTTGAGAGAGTCTCTCTTTGTTCAGGCTGGAGTGCAGTGGCACGATCTTGGCTCACTGCAACCTCTGCCCCCCAGGTTCAAGCAATTCTCTTGCCTCAGCCTCCCGAGTAGCTGAGATTACAGATGTGTGCCACCATGCCCAGCTATTTTTTGTATTTTTAGTAGAGACAGGGTTTCCCCCTTTTGGCCAGGATGGTCTTGCTCTCTTGACCTTGTGATCTGCCTGCCTTGGCCTCGCAAAGTGCTGGGATTACACGCATGAGCCACTGTGCCCTGGCGGTTGTTTGTTTTATACTTGTAATTTTGTTTAAGTTTCTTATAGATGCTGGATATTAGACCTTTGTCAGATGCATATTTTGTAAATATTTTCTCCCATACTTTAGATTGTCTGTTTACTCTATTGATAGTTTCGTCTGCTGTGCAGAAACTCTTAAGTTTAATTAGATCCTGTTTGTCAACTTTTACTTTTGTTGCAGTTTTTTTTTTTTTTTTTTTGAACTGGAGTCTTACTCTGTCCCTCAGGCCGGAGTGCAGTGGCTCGATCTCGACTCACTGCAACCTTCGCCTCCTGGGTTCAGGTGATTCTTCTGCCTCAGCCTCCCGAGTAGCTGGAACTCCAGGTATGTGCCACCATGCCTGGCTAATTTTTGTATTTTTAGTAGAGACAGGGTTTTCTTGGCCAGGCTGGTCTCAAACTCCTGATCTTGTGATCCACCTGCCTCGGCCTCCCAAAGTTCTGGGATTATAGGCATGAGCCACCATGCCCAGTCACTTTGGTTCCAATTGTTTTTGTCATCTTCATCATGAAATCTTTGCCAGTTCCTATGTCTGGAATGGTACTGACTAGGTTGTCTTCCAGGGTTATTATAGTTTTGGGTTTTATATTTAAGTCTTTAATCCATCTTGAGTGGAATATGGTGTAAGGAAGTTTTAATCTTCTGCATATTGCTAGCCAGTTATCCCAATATTAAATATGGAGTCTTTTCCCCATTGTTTGTTTTTATCAGCTTTGTTGAAGATCAGATGGTTGTAGGTGTGTGGCCTTATTTCTGGGGTCTGCTTGAGGGTGGAGGGTGGGAAGAGGGAGAGGATCAGAAAAAATAACTATTGGGTTACTAGGCTTAGTACCTGGGTGATGAAATAATCTGTACAACAAACCCCTGTGTCATGAGTTTACCTATATACAAACCTACGCATAATGCCCCTGAACCTAAACTAAAAGTTTAAAATAAGCAACAACAACCTTGGTGCACACATGATGGGACTAAAAAAGATTTGTACCACTCTGAGTTTTAGGAAAATCCACCTTATCATTGAGCTTCGGGAAGCCAACTGTGCCATTCATTAAGTAGGATTAGGAATAGAATTATAAAGATATCTTTTGTTATTTTCTTGCTCCCTAAAGGAATTTGTAAATAGGATATGGGCCGGGTGTGGTGGTGCATGCCTGTAGTCTTAGCTACTGGGGAGGGTTTCTTAAGTCCATGAATTTGAAACTGCAATATGCTATGATTGTGCCTGTGAGTAACCACTGCATACCAGCCTGGGCAACATAGTTAGATCCTATCTCTAATTGAAAAAAATAAACAAAACAGGATATGGGATGTTTATAATAAATATTTTTTAGAGATAGGCACACCTACAAGTTTCCCTTTTTACTTTGCCTTATAAAGAATCCTGTCTGGTAGAATGAAAAATGATTTTTGCATTTCATAAATCCATAACAGACTTTGCCTTTGCCCTGAGGCAAGGATATATGTACACCCTAGGAATTACTGTTCTGTCCAACACAGCAGCCATTAGTCACATATAGCTATTTAAATTATAAAAACGTATTATTTATGTTTTAAATGATAAATTATACTCATGTGCTCCATATGCCAGTGGTCTCAAAAGATTTTAATTTGTATTTCTATTCTACCTTTTCTATGTTTGGATGTGTCTAGATATACAGAAAACTTACCATTATATTCCACCTGCCTACAGTATTCAGTACAGTAACATGCTGTGCAGGTTTGTAGCCTAGGAGCAGTAGGCTATATATACCATGTAGACTAGGTACGTAGGGCAGGCTATATCATCTAGGTTTGTGTAAGCATACCCTATGATGCTTGTACAATGCCAGAATCGCCTAGCAGCATATTTCTCAAAATGTGTTCCTATCAGTAAATGATACATGACTGTAATTTAAAATTATTAAAACAAAAATCAGTTCACTTGAACTAGCCCCATTTTAAGTACTTCCTAGCCAAATGTTGCTAGTGGCTACCATATGGGACATTGGCAATATGGATCATCTCCATCACTGCAGAGAGTTCTCTTGGGCAGTGCTATACTATACTCAACTTTTTTTTTGAGATGGAGTCTTGCTCTGTTGCCCAGGCTAGAATGCAGTGGCATGATCTTGGCTTGCAGCAACCTCTACCTCCCAGATTCAAGTAATTTTCTTGCCTCAGCCTTCCAAGTAGCTGGGACTACAGGCGCCCGCTACCACACCCAGCAAAATTTCATATTTTTAGTACAGACGGGGTTTCACCATATTGGCCAGGCTGGTCTCAAACTCCTGACCTTGTGATCCACCCTCTTTGGCCTCCCAAAGTGCTGGGATTACAGGTATGAGCCACTGCGCCCAACCCTAGACTTGTCATTTTTAAGAAAAGAAACAGGCAAGCGTTAGCTGGGTGCAATGGCTCATGCCTGTAATCCCAGCACTTTGGGAGACTGAGAATGGCAGATCACTTGAGCCCAGGAGTTCAAGACCAACCTGGATAACATGGTGAAACCCTGTCTCTACTGAAAATATTAAAAATTAGCCAGGATAGTGGTGCGTGCCAGTGGCACTAGCTGCTTGGGAGGTTAAGATGGAAGGATTGCTGGAGTCTAGGAGGAGGAGGTTGCAGTGAGCCGAGATCACACCACTGTACTCCAGCCTGGGTGACAGAAGGAGACTCTGTCTCCAAAAAAAAAAAAAAAAGGGCTAATGGAAGAACAAAATAATAAAGACCTAAGTTTCTTAAAATTCAGAAAAAGATATGTTGAGTATCATCACTTTGACGTTGTTTTTTAATGTTTAATTCTGTTTTCCAGGCTGGCAGTGATGGTGAAAGCATAGGAAACTGCCCCTTTTCCCAGAGGCTCTTCATGATTCTTTGGCTCAAAGGAGTTGTATTTAGTGTCACAACTGTTGATCTGAAAAGGTAAGACACGGTCGCAGTTTGCAATCAGTCAACTTAAGCTGAACTGTCTTTTCAGTTTGATCCTATTTTAACTTTGATGGCATGTATTCTCTAAAGGAAATATATTAAAGGTTTGCTAGTTTATGGACAAACAACTTGTATATACAAGTCACGCTCTCAGTATACTGCATGTGACTACTCAGTCTTTTTTAGGAACTTTTGTATGTTTACCTTAAATTTTATGAGCGGCACCAGGAACTAAGTTTTAGTGTAGATGCAGTGAAAGCCTTGACTTTTCCAGTTTGAACATGGAGTCATGAAGAACTTTCTAAGCAGAATCTTGGCCCCGAATGTGTTAAACATATGATCTATATAATCTGGATCTTTAAAGACAAGGATTTTTAGGAGGTTGAATACCATTATTATCAATTTCATTTAATTTACTTTTTAGGGAATAATAGTAATTTTCTATAGCATGATTTTAATCATATTTGTTTACATCTATTGTAAAATAAGAGCAGTTATCTGTGGCCCCTGATTGTTCTTAAGGGAAGAGTTGTTTGCAGCTTTCTCTCCTGGATGACTTTATGGCTTATTTTCTATAGTGGAGAGGGCTGAGAAGAGCCCTGATGAGTAGAAAGCTCTGTTTTATTCAGAAATGTCTATTTGCCTTTAGCAAACAGGTCTGGGGTGAAGAACATTTATACATCCTCTTCCACAAAAGATTTAAATCAAGGATTAAGAATAGTTGTATTATTGGGAAAATCTAGGGTTTGGCAGTGGTTTCCCCTTAATGCAAGTGTTACGTGTGATTTGTTATTATACTTATTTTTAAAGCTATTATATTAGTTCATTCTCACATTGCTATAAAGAACTACCTGAGACTGGATAATTCATAAAGAAAAGAGGTTTGATTGACTTATAGTTCTACAGGCTGTACAGGAAACATGGCTGGGGAGGCCTCAGGAGACTTAAAATTATGGCAGGAGGCAAAGGGGAAGCAGACACATCTTACATGGCTGGAGAAGGAAGAAGAGAGAAGTAGGGAGGTGTTACACACTTTTAAACAACCATATCTTGTAAGAACTCACTATCACAAGAAGAGCAAGGGAAGTCAGCTCTTGTGATCCAGTCACTTCCCACAAGGCCCCTCTTCCAACATTGAAGATTATAATTTAATATGAGATTTGGGCAGGGATACAAATTTAAACCATCAAGTCATGAACAATGTCCAGGAAAGAATAATGACACCCTATCACTTGATAAAGTGGCAGAATTCATATGTGTTATCCCTCTGAGCATCACATGCTGATAGTTAAATCTGAAAGCTATAATTTCATTTCCAGTTCTATGTTAGTGTACTCAGATTACTGTCATTCCCTTAAAATATATTTTTACTTACTGCTAGTACATAGATTTGAAATTTTACAGACTTTAAAATTTATTGAAAATAAGCCATAAAGTCATCTAGGTACCCCTTTAGTTATGTATATAAATTCAAGATTACACACTTATAATCGAGTTAAAACTACAAGCTCTTGGGAAGACATTACCTCGTTCATGTTGGGCAGAGATGTTGTAAGAATGAAATAAGCCATGTAGTTACCCTTCTATTACTGTTTTCTTCATACATGCATACACAAAGAAAGTTTCTCAATATAACTCCTAAAAATAGACTTTGCCACCATGCACACACCCTTACTGTGTCCTAAAATACATGAATTTCTCCTATTCCACTTTTGGCTTGGAGCAAGTGAGTTGACTGCCATGCTTTGAAAAAGCCTTCATTGAATAGTTTAATACTTAATTGTGATGCATACCAGTAATAGTGCCATAAACGATGGGAATCTGGGTCAGAAAAGGAAGTAAACTCATTATAGCTATTTCAGAGTTGTCTTGTTTCTTTTCATTTAGACTTTTTAAAGGCATTATTCATATAGGTTGATCCCATGTTTGCAGATTTGCATATATATGTTAAAGTGTATATGTGGAAATATGTGTAAGTATATATATTTAAGTGCATATGTTAAGTATGTGTATAAAAACATGGGAGACAGGCATTCAGGACCTCATAAATAGAAAATATCTAAGAACATATATGTTTATTACCTAGGACATTTTATAAAATCAACAGCAGAGAGCACTTAAAATTGAAGCTTATATTCTTTGGTCTTCTTTAGCAATCATAGGTCTCCAGTAAAGCTAAAAAATGCTTCTTAGAACAATTAAAACTATATAAGTAGTACATGAAAATGAGTCCCTACCATCCCTACCCCCTAGTCATCAACTTCCTCTTCAGAAAGAATTTATTTTAGGCTTGGTCTTTATCCTTCCAAATCTTTTCTTTTTTTTTTTCTTTCTTTTATTATTATTATTATTATTATTTCTGAGACAGGGTCTGCCTCTGTCACCGAGGCTGGATGGAGTGCAGTAACATGATCATGGCTTACTGTAGCCTTGAGCTCCTGGGCTCAAGTAATCCTCCAGCCTCAGCCTCCCAGGTAGCTAGGACTATAGGCATTTACTACCACACCTATGTAATTTTTTAAGAGACAAGGTCTCCCTGTGTTGCCTAGGCTGGTCTTGAACTCCTGGGCTCAAGTAGTCCTCTGGCCTTGGCCTCTGAAAGTGCTGGCATTACAGACATAAGCCACTGTGCCCAACCTCGTCCAGATCTTTTCTATGTGTTTACACACTTATAATCTTGAACAAAATTTTAAAGAGAAGGTGCCTCAAGAAAGTGAACATTGGCTCAAAACAAAAACAAAACCCACCAGTATATATGAAAGTTATCACATATCTCTAGTACCTTTCATAATATAATCTTAATCATAAAACATTAAATGTGACTCTTTTTAGAAATTTGTAGGGGAGAAAATGCCCATAGTACTTATTTTCCTGCTTTTCCCGGTAATTGCATAATTTCTCGGTGAGAAGTACTGACTCCAGAACAAACCAGTTGAGAACAATAGAACTCCTCTGAGAGTTACTTAGCAGCTCACTGTATGATTTGAAAAAATGGTTGTTACATGACATTTCATCCATAAGAACAAGCCCATTTCTAGTTCTGGCACTGTGTGACATGTTCTCTTTGAATCTCTGTTGGCATTAATGACTGGTAGTGTTCATGTGTCCCTTGTGAGGCTTTGAACAATCTCCCATTCCTTGCCTGCTTGAGCAGCCTTAATGGTTGAGTGGGAGTCATTTGTAAACCTAATTTTCTGTTCATATTGCAATTGAAAGAACGTTTAGATTTTAAAAAGTGCCCAGGCTTCAGAAAGAATTTCGAGTTTTTACATCAATGATTTGAACAAAAGCTTCAGATAATATAAGTGAAAATATTAAAATTGGGGGCATAAAGATGTTCTGGCATGTCATCAGTTGGGAAACAACCATGGCATAGTATAGAAAGTTTCAGGAGTAAGACCTGGCTGTGTATGAAGAGAGCCCTGTCACTGATTTCACTGGGACCTTGTGCAAGCTGCCTCATCTTCCTTGGAGTCAGTTACCTCATATTTAAATTCAGGAAAAAGGAAGGGAAAAAACTTCACTTTTGTAATAGTTTAAAACATTACCATGGAACTATGAAACTGATAGTTCTGCATATCTTAGAAACACAGAAGAAAATCTGATTCCAAAATAGACTCTTCAGATAGTTTTATTTTCATTATCATGTCTCTGTGTTTCCACCCTTCTGAAAACAGTCTGCAGTAACTTGAGAAATCAGTTCAATTTCTGCTATCTTCAGTAGCAGCAGCATGAATGACACATGCCAAGAGACTAAATGGAATGAGATGGGCCTGTCTTTAAGAGAAATCATCTATTTCCTGCTGCTGGCCAGACAGGAAAGTCAGACTCCATTTTTCCCCTTTGTAAAGTTGACTTGAGCTACATGAAGCACTTGTTAGAATAGTCCTAAAATTCAAAATAATTGTGTTTTATGACTGTATTCAGAATCACATGTGTACTCAGTGTGTGTGACTGAATGTATGTGTATGTGTGGGTGGATGGTGGTGTGTGTGTGTGTGTGTGTGTGTGTGTGTGTGAACATGGGAGGTGGAGTTTGCAGTGAGCTGAAATCACGCCAGCCTGAACAACAGGGCAAGTCTTCATCTCAAAAAAAAAAAAAAAAAAGAATCATGGAATCTATATTTGAAATCTTTTCATGGGTGCTGCTTTTTTTTTTTTTTTTGAAGTATTTCTCCCCAGATTGACTTTAAAATTGACATTAAGAGCAGACAGATTAACAATATTTAATTCATATCAGTAAAATGTTTTTTAATATTTTATATCAAGATGATCTTGTTGCATGTAAAATTCTTTTAACTGGTTGAACTGGGACAAAGACAAATTCGTACTGACGAGGAGTCTTGGTGTGTGTGTTTTGTTGAGTCCATGATTAATTTGTTCAGTTAGTGACTTGACTATCAGTCAAGCCAAAATATATCAAATCTAGTAAAGCATAATTAATATACTAAAGTGTTTTGAGACAAATACTTCTGATTCTATAGTGTTAACTTTTGTGGGTTTGTTGTTGTTGTTGTTATATATTTATATAGTGTCCAGTAGTCTCTTGATATATGTGAATTAATTTTATGCCTTGAAAATCAGCACCTTCAAAAAGGAAACTCGATTTTTTTCGTTGCTGTTGTTGTTCTCTTTCTGGAGAAAAAAGCTCAAAAGGAGCTCAATTTAAAAGATAAGACCTATATACCTAGTACTTTTTTCTTCATTTGGCAAGTCAACTTGTTACAGATAGGTCATCTTCAAGAGCCAGCCCCAGTGTCTTAGAGCTATGCTGCACTTATTTCATACCAAGCAACTGGAACTGAGCCACCAGCCCAACTTCCTCCAATTGTTGCAAGGGTACTGAACTACATTTTAATAGAAATTAAGCCATTTAACTCTTAAAACGTTAGCCCCTATAGGAGTTCTCCTTTCCTTTCTTTCCCTTTCTTTTTTTTTTAATTTCTTTTTCTTCACCTAGAATGACAATGGGGAACAACAGAATAATTTATTTCATCTGAATGACTACCATGATATGTGAGGCTAAAAATAATAAACCCAAAACACTGAAGACTATTTGCGCCCTATTGCAAGGCATGAATTCTGTGCACTTTGCTCTTGATCTCATGAAAGGGAAACATTTGAATGAGTTTTAATCAGTTGTTGAGTATTTACTGAAGGCCTTTTTCGAAGTAAACCAAAAATGTCTTGAAATTTTTCGCCATTTCCTATTGCCTCAGTTTCATTTATCTCAAACTGCAATTCTTACAGTGTTAAGTCTCTGTGAAACATCTGTAAAATGAGCCTTTGTGGGTCAAACAGAACACCTGAGGCCTGAGAATGCCAGGTGGGAACTGCAGATTGAAGAATCTTAGATTCTGTTTGGTTGATACATAGCTTGTGAGTGAATCAGATTACCGTCTAGATCTTGTCCATTTATTTGAAGTCTGCTAATACATTTGGAGGCACTAAAGTTTCTTCTCAAATCCTTCACTTGGAATCAGGACCTGCTATAGTTGTCTGTCATCTCAATGGTTAATCCTGGAAAACAGTTTTATTGCTTTTTTTATTTAAAAAAAATATATAGCTTTTCAACCAAAACAAGATAGACTATTCACTAATCACAAATATTAATGGAAAATGGGTAATCATATGCCTTTTTAAACTTTCCTTGGTTGTACATGTGACTCTAAATCAGTTTTTATTACCAATCAGTTAATTCTAGGTAACCATTTATGAACCATCAGTTCTATTAAAGTTAAAACTGCCAATCTTATTTCCTGCATAATGCTTTGTTAATGTGATACTAAAAGTGGTAATGAGTTTCATTTGCATCTTTTAGGTGACTTTCACATGCCTTATTTGATTTAATCTTTACAAAGCAGGTGTTATAAAGAGGAAATCCAGACTCAAAGAGGTTGTTAATTTACTTAGTCATGTAGCTGGTAAATGGCAGAGCTTTTCCATTTGGGACTTCAGGCCAGTCCTTTTTAGTCAGACTTGGTTCTTTTTTTCTCTGATATGCTAGCTTTCTCCCTCCCCTAATAAAATTTTTAAGACCGGGTTTCACCATGTTGGTCAGGCTGGTCTTGAACTCCCGACCTCAGGTGATCCGCCTGCCTTGGCCTCGAAAGTGCTTGGATTACAGGCATGAGCCACCACGCCCGGCCAATAAATGTTCTTATTTGGAAGCCAGGGGCAATGGCATGCTCTCTATTCCCAGCTACTCACAGCTAAGGATCTCTTGAACCCAGGAGTTTGAAGACAGCTTGGGCAACATAGCAAGAGAGAGAGAGACCCCTGTCTCTAAAAAAGATTGAATAAAAATTTAAAAAATTAAGAAGTTTTTTGTTTAGATAGCTTAAAAGCTTTCATAATTAGTTATAGACGTAATGGGTATTATTTATTTTGTCCTACATGCCCTACCCCACCTACCCATGTGGGTTTTTTTGTTTTGTTTTGTTTTTAAAGCATCGAAACCTCCTTCTCCTTTCTCTCATCTACCCGGTTCTTTAAAAAACTACTTGTGAAAACACACTTATTACCTTACACTTAGGCATTTAATTTGACTGTTTGTTAGTTATAAAAATGTTAATGGAGGTGGGCATGGTGGTTTACCCTTGTAATCCCAGAACTTTGGGAGGCTGAGGCGGGTGGATCACCTGAGGTCAGGAGTTTGAGACCAGCCTGACCAACATGGTGAAACCCCATACTAAAAATACAAAAATTACCCAGGCATAGTGGCAGGCACCTGTAATCCCAGCTACTCAGGAGGCCGAGTCAGGAGAATCGCTTGAACCTGGGAGGCAGAGATTGCAGTGAGCCAAGATCGCACCATTGCACTCCAGCCTGGGTGACGGAGTGAGACTCTGCCTCAAAAAAAAAAAAGTTCTAATGGATATGTTTATGACTTTGGAGTGAGAAAATTGTTTTCCAGGTAATCACAATTTATATATGATAAGATTAAAGAACATTTTTTTTTCTTGAGAGAGATTCCCGTTCTGTTGCCCAGGCTAGAAGTGCGGTGGTAAGATCTCAGCTCACTGCAACCTCCACCTTCCAGGTTCAAGCAATTCTCCTGCCTCAGCCTCCCGAGTAGCTGGGACTACAGGTGTGTACCACCACGCCCAGCTAATTTTCGTATTTTTAGTAGGGACGGGGTTTTACCATGTTGCCCAAGTTCGGCTTGAGCTCCTGACCTCAGGTGATCCACCCACCTGCCTTGGCCCCCCCAAAGTGCTGGGATTATAGGTGTGAGCCACCATTCCTGGCTGATATTCTTTATTTTATTCAAATTCTGTGCATTTATGGAAGGAAAGAAGAAGGAAGGCAGGCAGGCTAACTTAATAACAAGATAAACAACTCTGCACTATAATATGAGGGATAAACATTCTTTGAAATAATGTTATTATATTGCTTTTAAGTAGAAGTTTTTATAAGTTTGCTTTTTTAATTAAAGTTTTCAAACATGCATAAGAATAGAACAAACTTCTCCATAAACCTGATTCATTTATCAAGATTTTGCCACATTTGCTTTGTCCCTTTTCTCTTATTTTCTTTGCTGAAATGTTTTAAAGTAAATGCTAGACACCATGTCATTTCACCCCTACTTACTTCAGTGTATGACTTCAAACAGGGTAGACATTTTCTCCTCTAACCACATTGCTGTTCTGTCCTGCAGTTCCTAGTATACAATTTGAGATTTCCCTGGTTATCTCTGAAATATCTTTTTATCTTTGGTTGGTTTGTTTAAATCAATATCCAAGCAATTTTTCCCACTGCAGCCTCTACCTCCTGGGCTCAACCAATCCTCCCACTTCAGCCTCCCAAGCAGCTGGGACTACAGGCACATGCCACGACACCCAGCTAATTAAAAAAAATTTTTTTATAGGGATGGGGTCTCACTGTGTTGCCCAGGCTGGTCTTTCTCCAACTCCTGGACTCAAGCAATCCTCCTGCCTTGGCCTCTAAGGTTACAGTTATGAGCCACTGTACCCAGCCTGCCCAAGAGGCTTGATTAGAACCTCTTTGATAGGGCAAGGTGTGGTGGCTCAAGCCTGTAATCCCAGCACTTTGGGAGGCCGAGGCAGGTGGATCACGAGGTCCAGAGATCAAGACCATCCTGGTCAACATGGTGAAACCCCGTCTCTACTAAAAATACAAAAAATTAGCTGGGCATGGTGGCGCGTGCCTGTAATCCCAGCTTCTCAGGAGGTTGAGGCAGGAGAATTGCCTGAACCCAGGAGGCGGAGGTGGCGTGAACCGAGATTGTGCCATTGCACTCCAGCCTGGGTAACAAGAGCGAAACTCCGCCTCAAAAAAAAAAAAAAAAAAAAAAAAAAAACCCGCTTTGATAATATTTCATTTCTTATCTTCTTGTTTTTTTTTGAGAAGGAATCTTGCTCTCTCGCCCAGGCTGGAATGCAATGGCACGATTTCAACTCGCTACAATCTCCACCTCCCGGGTTCAAGTGATTCTCCTACCTTCAGCCTCATGAGTAGCTGGGATTACAGGCTTGTGCCACTATGCCCAGCTAATTTTTGTATTTCTAGTAGAGACGGGGTTTTGCCATGTTGGCCAGGATGATCTCGAACTCCCAACCTTGTGATCCGCCCACCTTGGCCTCCCAAAGTCCTGGGATTACTGGCATGAGCCAACATGCCAAGCCTTTTTTTTTTTTTTTCTTTTTTAGGCAGGGTCTCGCTCTGTCACCTAGGCTGGAGCGCAGTGGCACGTTCTCACCTCACCTCAATCTCTGCCTTCTGGGTTCAAGTGATTCTCCTGCCTCAGCCACCTAAGTAGCTGGGACTACAGGCACATGCCACAATACCTGGCTAATTTTTTTGTATTATTAGTAGAGATGGGGTTTCACCATGCTGGCCAGGCTGGTCTCGAACTCCTGACATCAGGCGATCCGCCTGCCTTGGCCTCCCAAATGGCTGGGATTATGGACATGAGCCACTGCACCCGGACAATTTATTTGTTTTCTTTTTGAGACAGGGTCACTCTGTTGCCCAGGCTGGAGTGTAGTGGTGCGATCATGGCTTACTCCAGTTTCAACTTCCCAGGCTCAAGTAATCCTCCCACCTCAGCCTCCCTAGTAGCCGGGACTATAGGCACACAGCTCCATGCCTGGCTAATTTTTTATATTTTGTAGAGACAGGATCTCACCATGTTGCCCTGGCTGGGTCTCAAACCCCTGGCCTCAAGCAGTCTCCCACCTTGGCCTCCCAAAGTGCTACAATTACAGACGCAAGCCAACGTGCCTGGCCCACTTTGAGAATTTAAAGAATTGTTGCTGTTTTAGTGCAAAAAATGATTTGATTTTGACCAATATTTTGCCCAACAGGAAGCCTGCAGACCTACAGAACTTGGCTCCTGGGACCCACCCACCATTTATAACGTTCAACAGTGAAGTCAAAACGGATGTAAATAAGATTGAGGAATTTCTTGAAGAAGTCTTATGCCCTCCAAAGTGAGTATCAAAGAAAATATGTATGAAAATATTGTCACTTATTTGAAGCTCGTGTTTTTTGTCTGTAGAGGAGACCTTTCTCACAGCATTAATTTGGAATGACTAGGACTCTTTTTTATGTTTCTTATAATCCTACACAGATAGAAGCATTGGTTTCCAGCTAGGCCAATAAGCCATACCAAGAAAGTTGGGGATTTGTCTAAGCTGTAGAGTACATGGTAGAAACAGATTTGGGATGTGTGTGATAGGTCAGGAAAGACTGGTTATTTGTGGACTGTAGGTCTCAAACTGAGAGAGAAATTTAAAGAGGAGAAGGGATGGGGAAAGACACATTCCAACTGAACCCAGTAAGAATGTTTCAGCAAGAGTGTGGCATAGACTCCTATGAGATTTGATTTCAGTTCATTTTAAAATAAACTGAAAGGTATAATAAGACAGTTTCCCTAGGATTCAGAGTTTTTATTTACTTATTTCTTTGAGGTTTTCCAGATCTCTAGGTCCTGCCTGTACTATAATGATAGTTAAATAAATTACAAATATGCAGCTTTGCATCATACTATAATCTTTGCATAGATTCAAAGCATTATTGGTTTCTTTTAGGCTTTTCTTGTTTCATTATACTGAAAATTGACATGTTTTGTTTCTACTGACCCAAACCTTTATTACTCGTTAACTTGACTCTTACCCTCCATGTCCAGATATATTTTCCAGGATTATTGGGATTATTGAGATAGAGGGTTCTCGAATAATTATAGACATACCCTGAAGATATTGTGGGTTAGGTTCCAGACTACCATGATAAAATGAATGTTGCAATAAAATGAGTCACATTATATTTTTGGTTTTCCAGTACATGTAAAAGTTATCTTTACATCGTAGTATATTGTAGTGTTTTAAGTGTGTGATAATGGCATTATGTCTGAAAAAATTATACATACCTTAATTTAAAAATATTTTATTGCTTAAAAAATGCTAATGGTTATCTAAGCCTTCAACAAGTCAATCTTTTTGCCAATGGTGGGTCTTGCCTTGATGTTGCTGGCTATTGACTGATCAGGATGGTGGTTGCTGGTTGAGATGGCTATGGCAATTTCTTGAAATAACAATGAATTTTTCGACATTGATAGACTCTTCCTTTCATGGAAGATTTCTCTGTAACATGCAATACTGTTTGATAGCATTTAAAATTTTTAAAATAAATATTCTTTGCCTGAGGGATACTCTCAAGAGGTCATACGCCCCTGTTTGATAGCATTTTACTCACAATAGAACCTTTTTCAAAATTAGAGTCAATCTTCTGAAACTCTTCTGCTATTTTAACAACTAAGTTGATGTAATATTCTAAATTCCTTGTTGTCATTTATCAATGTTCTTAGCATCTTCACTAAGTATAGATTCTATCTCAAGAAACTATTTTCTTTGCTCATTCATAAGAAGCAACTTCTCATCCATTTAAATTTTATTATGAAGGTAGAACAATTTGATTACATCTTCAAGCTCAACTTTTCTAGTTCTTTTGCTATTTTCAACACATATGTAGTTCCTCCCTCCACTGATGTCTTGAACCTATGAATGTCATCCATGAGGGTTAGAATCCACTTCTTCCAAACTCCTGTTAATGTTCCTATTTAGACCTTCTCTCTTGAATCATGAATGTTCTTAATTGCATCTAGAATGGTAAATCCTTTCCAGGTTTTCAGTTTGCTTTGCCCAGATCCATCAGAGGAATCACTTTCTATGGCCTTATGAAATGCGTTTGTTAGATAATAAGACTTGAAAGTCAAAATTACTATAACTTACGGACTGCAGAATGGATGTTTTGTTAGCAGGCATGAAAACAACCATGATCTCCCTTTAGATCTCTCTCAGAGTTCTTGGGTGATGAGGTGCATTGTCAATGAGTGGTAATATTTTGAAAGGAATCTTTTTTTCCTGGGCACTGGGTCTCAACAGTGGGCTTAAAATATTTAGTAAACCATACTGTGAACAGATGGATGTGCCATTATCCAGACTTTATTGTTCCATTTATAGAGCACAGGCAGAGTAGATTCAGTCTTTTTTTTTTTTTTTTTTTTTTTTCCTGTGATGGAGTCTCACTCCATTGCTGTGGCTGGAGTGCAGTGGCGTGATCTCGGCTCACTGCAACCTCTGCCTCCCAGGTTCAAGCGATTCTTCTTCCTCAACCTTCTGAGTAGCTGGGACTAGCATGCGCCACTGCACCTGGCTAATTTTTGTATTTTTAGTAGAGAGAGGGTTTTGCCATGGTCGCCAGGGTGGTCTCAAACTCCTGACCTCAAGTAATCCACCCGTTTCAGCCTACCAAAGTGCTGGGATTACAGGCGTGAGCCACCATGATCAGCTGATTCAGTATAATTCTTAAGTTTTCTGCAAATTTTGGAATGGAAGATGGGCATGGGTTGCAACCTAATGTCAACAGCTGCATTGGACTCCAACAGGAGTCAGCCTGTCCTTTGAAGATCTGAAACCAGGCATTGACTTTTCCTCTGTAGCTAAGAAAATGATAGATGACATCTTCTTTCAGTAGAAGGTTTAGTCTGCATTAAAAATCTGTCTAGTGTAGCCACCTTCATCAGTGATCTACCTAGAGGATCACTGATGAAGATGGATTACATTTTCTAGATAGATCATCTGAGGAAGGTGATAAAGGAAGATGATCTAGATAGATCAGCGAGATCTTCTAGATAACTTGCTGCAGCTTCTGCATAAGCATTTGCTGCTTCATGTTGTACTTTTATGCTTTTATGTTACAAAGATGGCCTCTTTCTTTAAACCTCACGAACCAACCTCTGCTAGCTTCAAACTTTTCTTTTGTAGCTTTGTCACATTTCTCTGCCTTCATAGAACGGAAGCGAGTTAGGACCTTGCTCTGGATTAGACTTTGGCTTAAGGAAATGCTGTGGGTGGTTTGATTGTTTATCTGGACCACACAAACTTTCTTCTTACCAGCAATAAAGCTGTTTTTTCTGTCATTTGTGTGTTCACTGGAATAGCACTTTTAATTTCCTTTAAGAACTTTTCTTCTGTGTATGCAGTTTGACTGTTTGGTGCAAGAAGTGTAGCTTTTAGCCTGTCTCAGCTTTTGGTCTGTCTGAGCTTTTGACATGCTTTCCTCACTAAGCATAATCATTTCTAGCTTTTGATTTAAAGTGAGAGATATGTAACTCTTTTTCACCTGAACACTTAGAGGTCATTGTAGGGTCATCAGCTGGCCTGATTTTAATATTATTTTGTCTCAGGGAGAAGGGAGGCCTGAGAGAGGGAAAGAGACAGGAGAACAGCAAATCACTGGAGCAGTGAGACTACATACAATATTAATCAGTTAAGTTTGCGGTCTTACATGGATGTGGTTTCATGTGCCCCCAAAACAATTACAAGAGTAACATCAGTGATCACTGATCACAGATCATCATAACAGATATAATAATAATGAAAAATTTTGAAATATTGTGAAAAATGCCCAAAATGTGACAGAGACGTGAAGTGAGCACATGCTGTTGGAAAAAATGGCACCATCTTGCTTGACGCAGGATTGCAATAAACCTTCAATTTGTAAAAAATGTGGTATCTGCAAAAATGAAGCAAAGCTCAGTAAAGCAGAGCACAGTAAGACAAGGTGTACGCCTGAAGTTACTCAATTTTTTTTGTAAGAGAGTCTCACTTTGTCGCCTAGGCTGGAGTGCAGTGGCACCATCTTGGCTCACTACAACCTCTGCCTCCCAGGTTCAAGCAATTCTCTTGACTCAGCCTCCCAAGTAGCTGGGATTATAGGCATCTGCTAATTTTTGTATTTTTAGTGGAAATGGGGTTCCAAATGATTCCACCATGTTGGCCGGCTGGTCTTGAAATACTGACCTCAAGGGATCTGCCTATCTTGGCATCCCAAAGTGCTGGGATTACAGGTGTGAGCCACTTGCCTTGCTCAGTTACTCAGTATTCATCCATTTATTTATTCATTGGTTTATTCATTCTGTAAAGGATTAATGGACTACAAAGCATTGTGGATATGTTAGTGAATAAGACACAGTTCTTGCCCCTCCAAAAGTACAGTCAAGTTTGAGTGGAGAAGTGGTTATGGTGGTGTGATGAGAAGGTGAATGGAATCAGGAAAGGCTTTAGAGAAGAGACAATACTTGAACTTCAAACTCTCTTAATTAAAAAAAAGTGGGCCAGGCACTGTGGCTCACACCTGTAATCCCAGCACTTTGGGAGGCTGAGGCAGGTGTGGATCACAAGGGCAGGAGTTTGAGACCAGCCTGGCCAAGATGGTGAGACCCTGTCTCTACTAAAAATATAAAAATTAGCCACACACAGTGGCGGGCACCTGTAATTCCAGCTACTCAGGAGGCTGAGGCAGGAGAATTGCTAGAACCCGGGAGGCAGCGGTTGTAGTGAGCCGAGATTGCACCACTGCACTCTAGCCTGGGCAACAGAGCAAGACTCTGTCTCAAAAAAAAAAAAAAATGTTCAGCAGTTGAACAAAGGAATGACAAGTATTCCAGAGTAGAGTCATTTTAAATATATAGCATAAACGTTTATATTTATGCTATACATAGTATGTAATAATATATATTATTAATTATGATTAACATAATTAATATATGTATATTTGGGGGAAACTTGGGTGAGTGGCTGGACTGTGATGTGCATGGTTGGGATGGCAGGCAGGAGGCCAATGAGCAACAACGCCTCTGTGTATAACCAGCTTCTCATCTGTTGTGAGCAGAATTGCTCTCTGGTTAGTGATGTTGTGCTAAGCCTAAGATTTTATTTTCTTAATTCTTTTTTATACGAAAATTCTGAAAGCCAATCCTCTATTATCCTTCCTGTCCTTCTAAAAGCCTGGAATTTCTTTTTATCCCTACCTTCCCGGGAGACCTAACCTGCTTTTATCCCTAGTAAAGTATCTCCAAACTAACATTAAGAAAACTATATCTTGATTTTTCTTTCGGGCCATGCATATAATTAGAATTGCAATAAAT